GGAAAGGAAAGGAAAGGAAAGGAAAGGAAAGGAAAGGAAAGGAAAGGGAAGGGAAGGGAAGGGAAGGGAAGGATGCCTTGGCTAAATATAGCTATGTTTCTGAGAATGAAAAAAAAACTATAAGGACTCATTTGTTAGCACAAAAAACAAAATACTGAGCAAGGCAAGGCAAAATGGTGCTTTGGGGCACATAGAGGTGTTGACACAGCACCCGTTTGCACATCCTTAAAGCACCTGCTTCTTCTTCTAAGATCACACATGTGCCCTCCACAGTTGCAGCAAAATACATGTTTGGTTTCAAGAGCTGCAGATTGGCGCTAGGGGAAAACCGGCTGAAAAGAATCCCAAAATTACAGAGGACTTTCCATTCCATTGAAAAAGCACCGGGGAGCTGCCTCCAATGAGTCACCCAGGTGTCTCCAGCCAGGTGCCCCTGTGTGTTTAAGCAAGGCGCCGCGATTGCGCACTACAAACCGGATGAAACCCGGAGAGCGAAAAGCTTGCAGCACGGTAAAATTTAAAAAAAAAAAAAATCTCGCCGTTTGATTTTTGCCCGAGGAACGAGAATCGCGGCGTTCATTAAATCATCGCAGCCGAAAGCCCAATGGGTTTAGCAACGAGGGTTCTTTTTGTGACAAGCTCTGTCGTCTCCTGCGAACTGAAGGAGAATTCCGGAGCAGGAAAAACCGCCAGCCGGATTGCAGCTCCCTTATTAAGCTTCCCTTGTTGCAAATGGCAAAGCGCCGAAGAAGCATGCATTACTCATGCAGGCACCCCACAGCGACAGCCATGCCAAGGGGCAGGGCGAGCCGGGCGGTGCAGGTTTTAGGACGTGAGTGGCAATGACGCTCCCAGGCTGCCTCTTTCGCGCAGCCTCTTTGCTTGAGTGCGCTCCAGAGGGGCGGGAAGACTGGAGAGGGCGTCTTCTGGGATGCTCAGACGGAAGCCCTTGCTCCCCAGCTGCCACTGAAACAAGATCAATCACAACTGGGCTTTAAAGGTAGCCATCGGCTTATCACAGTTCATTCGGTGTGGCCGTTTGAAATTACGACAGCACTGAAAAAAGTGACTGATGACCGTTTTTCAGACTTGCAACCAGCGGTGGGATTCAGCCGGTTCGCACCAGTTCGGCGGAAGCGGTAGCTAATTTTTTCTTGCCCGGGCCCAGAATGGACTTCCGGAAGTGGCATCCATACAGAGAACCGGTTGTTCTCATATTTGAACCCCACCACTGGAAGAAGGCATAAGAGAGATAGTAAAAGGNGTGTCCCCAGGGAGATGGGATCACTTTGGGCGATCTTCCGACGAGCAAAGTCAACAGGGAAGTCGCATCCACTTAACAACCTGGTTACTAACTGAACGAGTGAAGGGATTCAGTTAACGACCGCGGCAAGGGAGGTCATGAAATAGGGCCAAATTTACCTCACCGTCTCGCTTACTGACAGAAATTCTGGGCTTAATTGTGGTCGTACGTGGAGGACTTATCTGTATTACCAAAAAAAAAAAGTAAAAAGCAGAAGAGGCAAAACTAGGGAGGTGATTGGAGGAAAGTGAGACAAGCAGAGCCAAGAAGTGGATTCTTGATCTGTGCGTTATTAAGACTATACAGTTCAGCTAAAATCAGTCTCGGGTATTTTTCCTTTTAACCAGCTGGTACGCCTTTCCATTTAGTGAGCTGTGCAAACTTCAAAGGAGGCAGGATCTGTAGGTTGCTGTCTTTGAACTACAAAGATTGTCTTGGTAATTGACTTTATTTAAGTGTAATGTGTCGGGTATTTTTTTTTTTTATTTTAAACACCCAAAAAAAGTCCAAAGCTTGGAAATTGGCTTTCTTGCTGACCTGTCTCTCCAGCTGCGTTTGGATCCGTGCTTTTCAGCCGATTCTCCAAATCCGAGGTATCAATTAAAGCCCTATTATATCTGAAGGGTAAGAACTTTGCTCTCACGCAGGCAGGGGTTTTTTTTGTCGCAAAAGAGTAGAAGTGCAATCTGCAACGGAGAAATTAAACAACTGGCTTTTAACACAGCAGATGCACTTCCAGCCTTCTGGGCCTTTGACTCTGAAGCCGAGAACAAAACAAACCCCATCAAGGCTTCCTATGGCTCTCACAGCGACGCACTAAATATCCTAGCAGGCGTGGCAGAAGGGAATGAAAGCGAAGAGAAGGACAGACCGCGGTTCAATCTTTTTAACCATTTGGGGAGTCGAATTGAGCCGGCTTCCTTGATAGGTATTCCCACCCCCACCCCCCTTTCTCCTTTCTCTGAGATTTAGAAACGCCTTCCAACGTGGACGGGACCTTTGAATAGGTGGTCATCGAGGACAAGCGACAAGTTGACCAGCTTAGAAGGAAGATCAGAATTGTAAGATTGAAAGGAGGAAAATTAAACCTTCCCAGAAATAGCTGAAAGCTTTCCAAAATAGCTTGCCAAATCCATTAAGCTCAACCACCGCAGAGCAGCAAGTGAGCCCACCTACTTTATTGGGGGGAAAAAACGTGGACGCTTGCTGCGGCTGTACGCTGCGTTGTCAGCACAACAATTTCCAAGGGAGAAAGGCTTCCAGGAACCCTAAAGAAAATGTTCCAATGATTCAAAAAGACTTGAATGAAGAGGAACAAAAATCCGGCAACTGGCTGAGACCTTCAGTTGTTACTAGTTGGAAGACCCTCTGCCAATTCGCACATGCAAACAGAAAAGGAACTAAACTAACTAAACTTCCTGACAGTGAGAACAATTAACCAGTGGAACAACCTGCCTCCAGAAGCGGTGAATGCTCCAACACTGGAAGTTTTTAAGAAGAGACTGGACAGCCATTTGTCCGAAATGGTGTAGGGTTTCCTGCCTGAGCAGGGGGTTGGACTCGATGACCTCCAAGGTTCCTTCCAACTTTATTATTATTGTTGTTGTTTTTCATGGAGAACGTTTTAAATAGGAAGTGGAAATAGGGGAAATATATAGCTTGAAATGGGATGTGTATGCTGAGATCCTGGGCAAGCCAGAGGATGAATACTATTTTTAAAAAATAATAATAATAAATTTCTAGGAGCAATGGATATAAAGATTTTTTGGGGGGAACTGCAGAGGCAGAGAAGTAATAGAAAATAAGAGATTCAGAAGCTGGGAAGTACTTACTGGCTTTTCTGGAGCTGAGTCCTAGGCCACACAAAAATAAAGAAAACTGCAGAATAAATCATGAAAAAACATACGCTCCGTGTTAGCTGTGGCAGGATTCAGCTTTTCTCAATGTAAAGTTCTGAGTTGCCCAGAGAACGAGTAATTTAAATTTTTATTACAGGAAGGGTAACAAAGCTTGCCAATCTTAAAATTGCTAAAACAACAAACAAACCTGAAGCCAAACAAATAGTACATCGAAGCCAATTGATTTAGGAATGCAGCTACTCCCCCAAAATACCTCAGTTTCCTGGGTGAAATCCAGAGTGTCTTCTCCAGAAGCCAGCAGCGTATGGAGGATCCGTTGCTTCACCTGTTCCCACTCGACCAGCATTGATTCCCGGTGATATTCCTCTGCCAAAGCAAAGGTCTGGGAAGAAATTGATAGAGAAAAAAGACAAGCCATCATCCACTTCAATGAAAGCCTGGTAGTTAGAAAGAAGCTATAAAACGCTTCTGTTCTCATCCGCCAAAAGAACTCAAAGAATCATCTGGCAACTGGATATCTATGCAGCTTCTCATTCCATACAGATAAAGACTGTCCCAAAGGTAATAAATAAAATAATCATTTTTATATACAATTGCTGTTATCCGTCCCATGTAGTTTCTTGAACGTAGCTAAATGTTGTTATACTGTCTGAAAAATTAGGCAGACTTTGACCGCCCACTGACAATCCACCACCAATTGTTAAACATGATCTTTTTTTGTTTTATTTTTTTTAATGCTTCTTATTTGTAATGCTGCTCTGTGGCTGTAATAAAATTACTGCTCTGCTTTTGTTTTAAAGGCAACTGGACTTTCTGATTTATTTTTAAAAAAGGACATTTTGCTTCTTATCCAAGGAACCTCCTCAATTCTAACTAACTGGTGAAGGATGAAATGAAATTCCCCACCAGTTAGCTAGAACTGAAGATGTTTCTTGGATGGAAAATATCCTAAAGAGAAATCAAAAAGCCCAGTTGCCTTTAGAATAAAAGCACCTTTGGGACCAGCTACTGGAGACTAAGGTCCCAATCCAGCTTCCCAAATGTGCTTATCTTCTCCCTAATTCAGCGTCTCGCTGCCCATCAACTCCAACGCAGCATAAAGTACATTCCCTACATCTCCGTCAGGCTTACAAAATTATTGCCTTGGACTCCACCCTCCGTCTCATCCTCAATTTCTCCGTAAACTAGAACTGCAGAAGAGTCTAAATGCATTTTCCCCTCAAGCTTTCATGGATTAAGCTCATTTCCAGTAATCGAGGTTCTTGGGCTCCGATGCTTTCAAACCGCAGAAAGTAGAATTACACTAAATGGGTATTGTTGTTTTTTTTAAAAAAAAAACCCTCATAATTTATTCATTTTCTTAAAAATCACATTGGATTCAGGAAGTCCAAAGTGGGAGGACAATTTTGGGAGCTTAATGGGATGGAAAGAAAGAGAGAGATTGAAGAGGTTCTGCAGGGTGGAAAAAAATATATACCACCCTCTCAAGTATGGAGAATTGAGCCCTGTTTTAAAATTCTGCCAGAGGTCTATGCTCCTTGATTTCACATCAGTCGTCGCTCTTGAGAGACAGCAGCTCCTAAGGGACTCAGTGGTTTTTCTCATTACTGGCTGCCTAATCTTTTATGCTGAAAAAGGCAGGTTGAACCCTCGCTGATTTCATATAAAGCAAGTCAACTAAATGAAACCGATATTACAGAACGCAGAATAACAGAGTTGGAAGGGACACTGGAGGTCTTCTAGTCCAACCCCTTGCTCAAGCAGGAAATCCCTGTCTCTTCTGGTGATTTCACCAGATCTCTTATAGATCTCCAGCAGGTTGGGAGGCTCAGTTGTGGTCCAAACCATCTTAGGAGACGCTGGTCCCTATTGCAGAGGAAGAGCAGGAAGACTTGCGAGATGAAGGCTTACTAGAACCTGCAATTGTACAGGTAGTTCTCAACATGCAACCATGCATTTAATGACCGTTCAAAGTTACAACGGCACTGGAAAAAAAGTGACTTATGACCGTTTTTCGCACTTACGACCGTTGCAGCCTCCCCGTGGTCACGTGATCAAAAGTTAGATGCTTGGCAACTGACTTGTATTTATGACGGTTGCAGTGTCCCGGGGTCACGTGATCCCCTTTGGCAACCTTCTGGCAAGCAAAGTCGACGGGGAAGCCTGACAACTGTGTTACTACTAACAACTGCAGTAATTCACTTAACAACTGTGGCAGACTGAACAGTTGCTGCTGTTCAGTCAGGTACCACCTATTCTACGCCTGTGAATTTGGCTTTTCCTGCCTAAATGCAGTTGGGGGGGGGGGCAGATTAGTGCCCTGAAAGGCCTCCCTTCGCCTTTTAATTGATTTTCAACAGTGTTTTAATGGCCCTTTAAAAATGTTTAACCTTTACGTAGTGTTTTTAGGTTTTCAATTTTTTATTGTACACCACATTCTCTCTCCGTGAGACAGAGGGGTGGTTCCAAAATGAGATAGATAGATAGATAGATAGATAGATAGATAGATAGATAGATAGATAGATAGATAGATAGATGGATGGATGGATGGATGGATGGATGGATGGATGGATGGATGGATGGATGGATGGATGGATGGATGGATGGATGGATGGATGGATGGATGGATGGATGGATGGATGATGGATGATGAATGGATGATGGACAGACAAATAATTAAATAAATGGATGGATGGACGGGTGGACAGACATTATTTTATATTACTTTCAATACTCACCCGTTTCCTGGACTCTTCAATGGCAGACAGCAAAGCATTATCCTTTTCATTTTTTAGGAATCCCTGTAAGAAAAAGGACAATTCCCATTAAAAATCAGTTTAGCTTGGAAAGGACGTTTGGCACTTCCCACAGAGTTGGTGTAAACTCTGCTGTAAGGTCAGACAACTTTCGGCTTTCATTGCTTCAAAGACAATGCTCTTTAATTTGAGGGGGGGGGGGGAAGAAAGGAAAATGCCAATAAAGCGAATGTGTGCACTGAAATGTATTAGCCTCCTTTCAGTAAAGTACAAAACTAAACCCTATGAACTCTTGGCCGTTGAATCCTGATTTCATTTTCTCTTATTTCTGGATTTGGATCCGGCTTCCTTGCTCCATCAACTTACAAGAACCCTGATGAAAAGCAGGAGGGAGGCTGATGAACAGAGATAATAAGTCTGGCTAACCCCATTAAGTTGATTTTTAAAAATGGAAGAGAATGGTTCACCCAAGGAACAGGCTGCTCCCTTAGATGTATGGATATTTGCAAAACATACAATATATAAAATATAACCTATAAAAATGCACAGGAGACAATACTTGGACAATAAAGTATTCTGTTATTCTATTCTATTCTATTCTAATTCTATTCTAATTCTATTCTATTCTATTTTAGCTAGCAAAAAGTTGGACTATATTGCTGAAGCTAGAAACAATCCTAATCGACATTTTACCTAGCTAAATTCCCATGATGGTTTATTTTCCTTGCTCTGTATTATTATTTCCTCACATTTTGGGGGAAGAATTTAATAAAAATTGAGCTCTCAAACCAATTCTATGGGATGTTCTTCTATAGGACTAGAAGACCTTCAAGGAGCCTTCCAAACTCTGCCATTCTGTATTCTGACCTGCTTGTTGTTTACCTTTTTCATTTCATTTATAAGGGAAGATACCAAATAAGTAGGCAGCCCTCACCTTAGAGAATAATAAAATTGATTTTAAATAAATAAATAAATAAATAAATCTTGGATTTAAAAAAGCCCTATGACACAGTAGGGAACAAATACTTAAAAACAAAAGCCACTTCTGACCCAGCTGTACTGCTGTACTGAATTCAGATGCAACAAACCAAGATGCAAACTCAAGGAGAGTTGAGGCAAAGACAACTTAACAACCACAATAGAGCCCAACATCTCACTGCTAAGCAAGACAGTTGTTAAGTGACTTCTGCCGCATTGTACCACCGTTCATTCACCTGTTAAGTGAACCACTGCAGATGTTAGCTTAGTAACAGGGTGGTTAAGTGAATTTGGCTTCCCTATTGACCTTGCTTGACGCAAAAGGTGATCACATGACCCTGGGACACTGCAACTGTCATAAGTACATGCCAGTTGCCAGGCGTCCGAATTTCGATCACGTGACCATAGGGGAGGCTGCAATGTCGTAAGTGAAAAACGGTCACAAGTCACTTTTTCCAGTGCCGTTGTAACTTCAAACAGTCACTAAATGAATGGGCGTAAGTCCAGGATCACCCGTATTCCTTTCAGAAGCAGGTTTAGGAGAGATTGTTGACTGAAGTATTTCCTGTTAAAGCACAACTTCCTGGTGGGAAGCATGGCCCTTTGTGGCCACTGACAAGTCATTAACTCTCTGTTGAGCTACTCCCATCGAGTGGCCTGCAGATGTGATAATGTGCCTATTGATGTGTTCCTAGGCACACACCCAGGTTCCTGCCAGGGCAAATTCCATTCTTAATTTTTTAAAAAATGAATGGGAATCTGCCTCAGCATAACTTGCATGGTTAACAATGCCTCTGAGGCAGGCAGGCTCCCTTTCCATCTCTGCTTTGAGGTACACTGGAATTCTTCAACAGCTTCTTAAGGAAACTGTAATATGGAGAGACTCCTCATAACTTAATCTCCTGGAGGATGAGCAGTTTGAGCTGGAGGGTGGGGTTAAATACATCATCAGTTTGGAATCATTATGCCTCCACAAGAGATCTAAGTCCAGTCCCCCCCATGAATTCCGTTGACCCTTCTCTAGCGCCAATTTGGCTTGGACTGCTAGTGGCTCAGATTTACGTTAGACGCAAATAACCAGGAACAAAAGTTGAGTTCAAGGCACTAAGAGTTGAGTTCAAGTTGAGTTCAAGGCACCTATACATACGAATCTGGGCAACTAACGGTCCAAGGTAAAATGGCGCTAGATGTGTGTCAATGGAATTCACCGTGTGTTTGTGTGTGTGTGGATATGGGTCTCTTGTGGCTATGCAAGGATTCCACACCGACGGCGCATTTAACCCCGCCCTCCATCTCAGCCTGCTCATCTCCTACATCTTCTCTGCAATGTGCAGCTACAATCAGCTGCTGACTGGACAGTCTGTCTGTTCCTAGGAAGAACCACAAAATGGAATATTCGCTGAAGGGACAAAAATGGCCATCCGGTTCCAAAACCTGGGGGTGGGGGCCTGGCCTCTGGGTGTCATCCAGAAGCTTAAATGCAAGCATTCAAACACACCCTACATTCCCACTGCCCCCGAATGCTGGTAATTCACAAAGATTCACTTCCCATTTATCTACTTTAAGTAGCATGCTTATATCATTCAGGAACAGGTTTCCTACGTTCCTCCTGACTGAAATCCTAATGCTATGGCACTCTCTAATCTGATTATTTAAATCCAGCAACTCAAGTGTTTTACAAAGCAATAGGTCACTGGAATTTGAGGGCAGCGCCCGCCAAGTTCCTGTGTTCGGTGGTAAATGTCTTTTTTTCCTTACAGTTCTTAGATCTCTCTTTTAACCACCTAGGATCACATTCTCCTTTTTCCTATCGCTCTTATGAATTCATCTACTACCTGCTTTAAGTCTCCTTCTTCCACTCCGCCACTGATTTGGAGTGAAGCGTGCAGCCAAAAGATACTAATTTACTGCAGCAGCGCTAGGATTTTCTTGGCAATCCTATTCATAGCCCTTTAAAGTGTCAGAAGACAGCCAATTAACGCTCCACATGACAGGGACATTATCAGTTTCTTTGCAGTGGATATAGTAAAGCAAAGGAAGGAATTCACATCTCCCAACACTTTGCAGAAGCTAAATTCAGCTTGTCACATCCACTATTAGATGGCTTTTTTTTTTTTGTCAGAAAAATTCAGAACCACGTTAAAGCTGGGCAATTCAGATGTGGATTGTTTTTTCCAATCTCTACTTCCACATGTGCACAATACAAAACACAGGAAGCCTCAGTAGGGTTTGCTGAGAGTTCACGTGTTCCAAAAGGCAGAATCCATAAAAATAGCAAAAATGATCTCATGGGCACTTTTCGCCCTTCCCGCGCATCTGATGGAAGAATGCGGGTAACCCTCGACTTACAACAATTTGTTTAAGTGACCCCTCTGAAGTTACAACGGCGCTGAAAAAGGTGACTTACGACTGTTTTTCACTCTTACAATCCTTGCGGCATCCCCTAGGGCAGGGGTCTGCAACCTTGGCCACTTTAAGACTTGTGGACTCCAGCTCCCAGCTACGCTGGCTGAGGAATTCTGGGAGCTGAAGTCCACAAGTCTTAAAGTGGTCAAGGTTGCAGACTCCCTAAAGTTGTCAAGTGCTATTGCTATTGCTATTTGATTTTGTTTTAATATAATACATAGCACCACACACGATTGTACTGAATTTTTAACATAAATGAATATATAAAGAACAGTTTCTCCTTTTTGGCAGGGGGGGGAGAGGGGGACGATGAGATGCCCGCAGAGTCAAAGGCAGGCATTTTCTGAATTTTTGACATGCTTAATAAAAAAATGTTTGCCATCACTCTAATAGGATGACACAGAGCAAATGAACGGGACCGTGGTGGCGGCGGAGAAGGGCCTGTGGCTCTTTCTTTACAAAAGACAGGTGTCTATCCAGAGAGCAAAGCCTTTAAAATACCCCCATCGACAACAAGTAGACACACCGGTCACCAGACTGCAATTTTCCCATTATAGCAAGATTTATGCCTTTTTTTTAGAGCAATTGCTGCAATTATCATTCAATCGGCATGGATACGTGATTTCTCCAAACACTTCTCTTTGTTTTCCTTGCTGTTGATGCATTTCCTCTTTAGCGGTATGCAACAGGCCACTCCACGGTATTTAGAAAAAAAGGCAAAGCCATCCAAAACAACTGGCTTTAAATTTTAGATCACAGGGTGAGTACGATCATCTCTGCTTCGCTTCCAAGGGGCTTTTAAGTCCTGAGCAGAGCACATCTCTCTGGAAAATTATTTATTTATTTATTTATTTATTTATTTAATTTAATTTATATCCCGCCCTTCTCCCAACGGGACTCAGGGCGGCTCACAACATATTTAAAACAAAGGCATATATACAATCCCCCCCTGTAAAACCGAATTAAACCAAATTTTAAAGTTGTGTTATTTCGAATTCCTTAAAATGAACCCAGTATAAAATCCAGCAGTATAAAATCCCCAGTATAAAATTAGCAGCATTCTTCTTTCTGTGGGTATCTGAATGCTAATTCAACCATATGCAGCCAGCTAGTGTAGTAAGAGCTGCTTCTGCTGGTTACATTTTTCATCTAATTATGCTTGTACTCTGCAAGATGCATGCAAACAAAATGAGAGCCATATAAGGTATTCGTTCCTTAGATATTGGTCTGCTTGGCTGCCAAATCTTGAGGAAATTGAACACCACAAAAACAAAAAGATTGCCAAGAGATTGAAATGTTTTGTTGGACGGACATCCTGAAAGGTCATTCATTCTCAAAAGGTCAGCGAGATCATTGATGTGAGGGGAAGCAGCCTCTTTGGAAAAGAAATGCCCAATTTTAAACTTGACAGTCTTTCTCTTTCGGGTTTATTAAAATGCAGATGAGTTGCTTGCCTTCTTAATAACATCTGAAAATGTTCTGAAGAGGTCATGGACAATCGCCCAGACAATAAATGGACCCTCAGTTAGAATTAGACAGTAAATATGCTTTTGTGCCCAATTTTTGAAAGAAAAAAAAATGGCTCAGATACTAATTGTCTGCTGATATGCACTGTCGAGTCACATCTGCGGAATAAGTGAAATA